AATTAAAATCATAACAGGCCCAGATGTAAACCCAGACTCAGACTTAGGACAAAACTTGAACATGAAATTAAACACTCACAGTTTAAGAAATTATCTAGTGGTTCTGAATTTAAAAGAAAAAATTTGTCATTCTAGTATTTCAGGACTTCTTTATGTTCTGTTCTGAGTTTTTAACCATTTCAAAAATTCAGTATTATGAATTGTTATTTGCTCTAAGATAAGTGTCAAGTATGAATGTAGTGTGTGAGTAAGTTATTTGTAGTGTATGGTAAAGACAGCCACGTTTTCACTATTCAAGGCGGCTGTTTCTAGAATTAACTTTCTGAAATTAGTTCCTGTACAGCACTGGTGTTTATGATGTGTAATCTATCTGTTATTCTTAAAGGTGTTGTGTAACTTTTTGGGTAGGGTTGTACACCACCTGTTTGTCTCCTTGGAGATGTATTGCTTTGCTTGGAATTGTCGACATGGCATTTATTCAAGTACAGGTGTTTTTATTGCAAAACACAGGGTTCCCACAGTCATGGAAATCCTGGAAAAGTCATGAAATTTGAAAATGTCATATTCCAGGTCAGAAAAGTCATGCAACTACAGTGTTCTGTTAAGTTATCATTAGGCTGCTTAGATTATTTCCAAACGTGTGCACTTTTTGTTTAAAAGAGACGACAATAAATACACTGACAGTATTTCAGATGTTAAAAAACTATAATCCCAAACCATAAGGTGAGTGGAAAGGGTTAACATTTCATATTTAGCTACATTCTAAAGATGTAGGTGCTGGAAAATTCACTTTAGGTCATGAAAAAGTCATGGATGTAAAAGTTCTGAAATTTTGTCAGTGAAAAAGAGTGGGAACCCTGTTTATAAGCTCTTTGCTGGTTTAATCATAATGTACTTAGTGTTTTCGTTTTGGATATCACTAAATTTGACATCTTTTTGTATACACTACCGGTCAAAATTTTAGAACACCACACTTTTTCCAGTTTTTTACTGTTTACTGTTGACCAAAATATATTCTAAACTTTTGATTCATGGAAGTGTCCACCTTTGGCAGATATAACAGCTGAACACACTCGTGGCTCGTTCTTTTTACAATAGAAATCAAATATTCTTCAGAAAGTTCTTCCCAAGTCTGTTGGAGAAGTTCCCATAAATCTGTGACACTTGTAGGTTTCTTGGCTTTCACTCTTCTGTCCAGTTCATCCCAAAACCAGCTCGATGGTGTTTAAGTCTGGAGACTGTGCTGCCAAACCTTTCCTGAGGTAGTTTTGGCAGAGCTTGGACTTGTGTTTTCTATCTTTTATCTTTTTTTTTAACCTTTGGCTGTTCAGTTCTTCCCTTTGTACCATTTCAAGCTCTTCATTGGACTTGCACGACTTGAATTGCAATAAATAACTGGAAAAATTAGGGTGTTCTAAAACTTTTGATCGGTAGTGTATATTGCTAGTGTATATTCACTTTAGGTCATGAAAAATTCATGGAATGTTTTGAAATTTGGTCAGTGGAAAAGAGTTGGAACATGAGCTGAAAACATGAAATCTTACTGTGAGTGAGATTTCCTCTCCATGGATCTAACCTGTAACTTGGCCTGATGGTGTCACCTGCTTGTCTCCATGTGGACAGATAAGGTTAGTTACATAGTGCACCTTTAATACCATAATAGACATTTCAGATACAGTATATGGAACAGATTGGAAAAAACACTTGGCAAGCTAAATGGAAATTAGTTAAAACATATGACATCTCAACCACTGCGCTCCAGTCCGCCTTGTGTGGTTTTTCACTGTTCTGTTTCTGTCAGAGCTGGACACAGGGCCCACCACAGCCCCCCCTGGAGGCGGAGACGACCTGCTTTCAGACGAGCTGTTTCTGTGCCACACTGCTCTGTTTGCATGGCATTGTTCAAACTAAATTAACATGTTCATTCTCAGGCCTGCTTCTGCTGTCAGCCCCAGACCAGCAGCACAATGTGAGTGTGTTCCAGTGTTGTGTCATAAGATTCTAAGGAGGCCATGGTTTAAAATGGAGATCACAATGTCTGGCCCAGTTGGCGGCTTAAAGACTCCACCTGTGTGTAGATTTTGCCACGTCAGTTACAGAAATAATTACTGGATGTATTTATATGGCACGAAGTTGTAACATAGAAGTGAAGTAGGTCATTACTTTTCTTCATTTGGATTTCTATCAGTTTAGATCACTTTATATTAAATGTTTGTCCTTACACATGTATTAAAGCCACGAAACCTTTTCGTGATTTTTCACTTACAAAAAATTATATTTGTGATTTTTTTTTACTGGATAATTAAAGCAAAATTCTCAATTTGATTAAAATTAAATTCCCAAAAATGAATGCAACCTATTCACTGGCCATGTTTTGGACCTTGGTGAGCTACATATTTTTACTGATGGAGGTCACACCACCTGCTTGCCTTCATGGAGAGGTTTATGCTTGATCCAGCAGACAAAGTTAGAGGTCAGATCTGTGGAGAGGCTGGATGTTAAATTAAAGCAATTAAAACACCTAAATGAAGATTCCAGATTACATGAAATTGACTCTTGTGAGTTTTAAGTCATGTTATAGTGTTGTTGCCTCCTCAGAAACATACATGGAGTGTTTTGTTTCATTCACACATGTTTGAATAATCCTTAGTCAGCCTACATCACTGTTTCCCTAAGACTGGGTCACAAGAGATTTTTTTTTTAAGTCACCTTGTCACGATCTGCATGTAGGTCTGCAATTAGACAGGCTACTTATATAGGCTACTTCTGGATACCTTTTATTGCTGGTTCAGTGACTGTTTTTCATTGTTTAAAACTTGAGTTATACTAATTGTTCAGAGACACGATCACTCAGTCAACAATAAAACATCCTCATTAATGTTCAGTAATGGTCAAATCCACTTTTATTTTGTGATTTACGAATAATGTCTATTGACTTGGGTCGTGAAGGTTTGTGACTTTTAAAATATGGGTCCCCAGAAAAAAGTTTGGGAAACACTGATCTACATCTCCAAAGCTCAAAATGCTTGTTTCAACTTGTGATGTCATGAAGCACTACTTTTCAAGTTAACAGCTATCTTTTACCTTTAGTTAAATTGAGATGGGCAATTCCAGAGCTGGAATTATCCAAATTACTTTAGTGAAGATGTATGGAGTTTAAAAACACTGCGGACTTTTTACCACCTGTTTTACCACATGACATCACAAGGTGGAATAGAGTGTTTTCTATTAAACGTGTGTGAATGAAACAAAACACAACTCCAGGTATTTTTTTGGTGAGGAAACAACGTAACATAGATGTAAGAGAAAACAGAAAATGTCATAATATGGGCCCTTTAAATGCCGAACAGGCAAGCCGATAGTATCCATGGAGACAAACAGGTGCCATAACCGCCCCCAGAAAAGTTACGCAGTGCACCTTTATGCCTCTGCTGTGTCTTTCCACGTTCTCTCCCCTCTCTTGTCCCTAGGTCCTCCTCTCTCCTCCCCCGGCACACGAGAAGACAACTTGGCTGGTGGTTCTGCATCAACCGGTGGCAAAATGGCAGCTTGCGTGGTGTTTTTTAGCCGTCCTCCTTCCCCTTCTCTCCTCGCTCTCCGGAGACAAGTAACCCAGATTTCAAAATGAATCGCTGCCTATTCCCCTCAATCTTTCTCTCTTTCTCTTCCCTCTCTCTATCTCGCTCTCTTCTGGTCCTCCTCTGCGTCTTCATCTTGGAAAGAGACTACCACCACCTCTCCATCCTCCTCATCCTCCTCATCCTGCCTGTGGGTTCACGGATATACTCGACTTCACTCTTCTATCTTTGGTTACTAGAAAGCTCCAATCTCGCCCAACACTTGCTGCTTTGTTTTCGAACGTTGATTACTTTTTAATTTTTCCTCACAACTTTCTACATTTTTTGGAGCTGCTTCGAGTTGGCAAGCTACGAGTGCCACTTTTGGACAATTTAAAAAGGAGCAGCTAAGAAAAGCAAGTGAAGATTGCATCCAGAATTCCAGGTAATTATCTGTTTTTCCTTTGCAACATTTTGCTTTAAGGCTTGATAGACTTACTCCCTCTCCATCTTCTCATTCCCGCCACAGGTTTCTAGCTGCAGGCGTAGTTACAAGCATTTATTTATTCATTAAAATCTGTTTCATGTATCATTTATACAAGCAACGCTGGTATGCTCCCCACACAGTATTTGCTGCTTTGCACTTTTCACAGCACCCCATAGACATCGAGAATTCTCCAAACTTTTTCCCCTTCTCTAAATGGCGCTAATTAATAACAAGGGCGGCCAGGAAGTGGAGAGAAAGAGGCATGCTATATTGGAGCAGGTGCTGGGGGTGTAGTCGACATGGCAACAGGAGGTGCAGCTGACACGAGGAGAGCGGGGGCGGGGGGAGGGTACGGGGAGGTGGAGGTCCGTAAATGGGACAGTAGCGCTAATCGTTCCGAGTTGTGGGTCTCAGAGGAAGGTTCTGTTCCAGCTTTAAATTAACCTCTCTTTCTCCTTCATCGGTAAAGCGTTTCATACTGTAGTGTACGCGCACTTGTCGCCTGGGCAGTGCTTTGCGTCGCTTTTCTGGAGCTTTCTCGACTTCATTCGTAGCCTACTTCCTGTGCACTACCAGTGTAACTGTCTCCTCTCTTGTGGCCACTGCAAAAAAGTCAAATGAAATAGTGTGTGAAATAGCGTCTGGATTTTGTGGTAGTTTTGGATAAAATTGAACTTATTGAGTCTAAATAAAAAGTTAAAAAAGAAAAAATAGTGAAAATAAAGTTACTTTTGACTGAAACGAGGAAACCTAAATTGTGAAAACTGTCAAAAATATGTAGGAATAACTTAAATATCCTTGATCAGTTTACTAAATGAATATAAAGTGGTCTAAATACCAGTACTACAAAATTACAAAGGTTAAGCTCTCTCATAGTTTTGCAGTGTAGTGTCCTTGCTTCGTTCCTATAGCCTAGTTTCCGGCGCTCATTATCCTCCTCTTTTCCAGCAGGTGCGATGTCCACCCCGGTCTCCCCGATGCTCTCCCCTCTGAACCTGGCCTCCCCCACCTCCCCCTCCTCAGCTGGAACGTCTCCCCTCCCCTCGCCCCTCTCGCCCCCTCCCCGCGTGCCTGTGTTCCAGAGGAAGGGGGCGCTCAAGCACAAGCGCATTGTGGAGGTGAAAGACCACCAGTTCACCGCACGCTTCTTCAAGCAGCCCACCTTCTGCAGCCACTGTACTGACTTCATCTGGTAAGACGCTGTAAATGTACAGTACTCTCGTAAAACACAATGGCAAAACATAATATTCAATGCTAGAACGGGGAAATACACAACACACAATTAACTGCACTAACTTTATGCTGTTTATGTTATTGCTTTCCCTGGATTATAATAGTAAATGTATCTATCTTGCATTTATTGTCACTTCCCACTTCCCGTCTCCATAATGGTATAGTGTGGAATGTTCAGTGTAAATAGGGTTTCATCGGTGGTCATCTGTTTTGCAATCAAAACGTTTTTTTTAGCTCAAATCGTTAAATATGAAAATTACTTAAAGGGACAGTCTGGAATTTTGGACATAGAACCTAATTTCCTTGTGAGTCAGAGTGTTTAAGACATGTGGAGACACTTTAAAAAAAATATTCCATCCAGTCCTTGTATTTGCAGAGGTCATTGGTGCTCAGCTAGGGCATATCAATGGCCATAGTTAGGCTGCCACTAAAAACAGTCTTACCCTCTCCACAAAGCACCCGAAGCAACTCTATTATAATGTCAGACTGTCAATGTGAATATCTGTGTTGATAGAATCATTTTAGAAGTAAAACCAACCTTGCATTTGAAGGATTTATGTCCGAGCAGCAGCAGTGAGTTGTACTTCCTGATAGAATGCTTGACAGCGGCGGACTGATATATGAAAAAATAGTCCCTCAACATGCAGCAATTCATGTGATGCAAGGTTAGTTTTATTTCAAACATTATTCTGTCAACACAAACATTCACATCGACAGTCTGGCGTAATAATAGATTTGCTTTGGGTGCAGGACAACTATGGCCATTGACATGCACTAGCCTAGCAAAAGCGACCTCTGCAAATACAAGGACTGGATGTACTATTTAAAAAAGTGTCTCCACACATCTCCAACACTCTGACTCACTAGGAAATTAGGTCCTATGTCCAAAATTCCAGACTGTCCCTTTAAGAACTTGAACTGGCTTGGTACATCATATTGAACCTACCGTAATTTAAGGACTATAAGCTGCGAAGTGACTCAATGCAAAAAGACGACAAAAGCTTTCAGAGGCAATAAAAGCAGACGGCCTGAACTTGATAACATTCTTGAAGACGTGGGCACCTGAGGCTTATATTTAGGTGTGGCCTATGTATGTACAATTTAAAAATGTTGTTAAAATTTAGTTGATGCAGCTTCAATAGTCTGGAAATAACGGTATATTGAAGCACCTACGCTGAACCACTCCTGGACGAATAAGGGAATACGCTATATCTTGGAATATTCCAGTCAAAGTCATAAAATCTCCATGGAGACAAGCTGGTGGAGTCTGCTCACCAGAAAAGATATATAGTATAGCAGAGTGTAATAAGTATATTATGTTATTCAAAAATAGACAAACACAACACAAAGGAAGTGTGTCCATGTCAGCCGCCTCAGGGCTACATATGCAAAACATGAATATATCAAAGCAGCATATTGTATTTATAACACATCCATCACACTGTTATATAATGTGTGATAGACAGTGGAGCTGTTTATATTGTAAAACATGGCACTTTGTAACTTTTCCAGTAGAGGGTTCACTGTCTGCTTGTTTCCATGGAGATGTTAAGACTTGCCCAGATGTTCCGCAGCATGGCATTGTACTTGCCTATCTCCATGGAGACAAACAGAGGGCCTCGCCAAGCCAAGTTAGTGATGTGGAGAGATTTGAAAAAGTCTTTACAGCGCTGTTTCTTATTTCTACACAAAAAACAGGACTAATTTGTTTTAAACAGTTTGCAGTGGTCCAAAGTGATTCCCCATTTACCTTATGCATTCTGAGCATCTTAATTTTTGCTGTGATGTTAATACTAACAACAACTAGCACACAGCTGACTGGTTTTGACCTAAAGAGCTGCTTATACAGTTCATTAGGGACAGTGGCAGAGTCAGCAATTTGGGGGCCTGAGGCGAACTTGAGTTTGGGGCCCTCACTATAATGCACTGTTTTTCTGTTGTTGTTGTTGTTTATATATAGATTTATTATCTGTTTTTCCCCATTGTTCTTGAGACATCCACATCTCCGTTTATTTATTATTATGGTGGATTGGAAACTTGTCTTAATAGTTTGGTCGCCTACTAGATAACCAGAACTGAAAGTAGTTTTATTTTTTTGCTAGTACAATTACATTTTTGTTTATATCATTACACATGTTTATTATAATTTTTTACCATGATTATTATTTAAAAGTAAATTACTCTCATTTAATGTCATATTGAGAGAAAATCTGATTACTCCATTTGGCCATTAGAGGCACTGAGGGTAGTCAGTTGGGGCCCCTCCAGGTTCGGGGACCCTAGATAGCCACCTACTTTTGCCTAATGGTAGCGCCGCCTCTGATTAGGGATGTAATGATATCCAAATCTCACGGTACGATATTTACTGCGAATATAATTGTAGATGGAACACTTTTTTGTTTTTAAATTACCTTGACAATATTTTAGTGTGAATTATTACCGTCATAATCAAGAATTCAAGTAAAAAACATATTTCTTCATGTTGCCAGCACTGAAATGAATCATGGGATATGTTGTTTTCGATTTTTATAAGCTGTTGCTACCATAAAACCATGCATTCACACAAAGGAAGTTGTAATTCGATATATTGTGACAGCCCACGATATTACTGTGAGACTTTTGACAATACCATATCACAATATTTCGGTTACTGTTACATCCCTTCAATATATCTGTAATTGAGCAAGGAAAATTTCGCTCAATAACATGTGAAAAAGTAGGGTACATGACCTTTAATATCAGCACATTCAAATCAGATTATTTTAGTCGATGGTATAAACAAATTCTTACCTCAAAACCATTCAACAGGCAGTTCCTCTGAAAACCTCTGCTCCATCTTCTCTCTGCTGCTTGTGTGTGAGATGGAGAAACCACCCACACTGCTTAGCAACCAACTCTGCCCCATCTGGTCACTACAACCTCACCTCTGCACATGGCACGCCCCCGGGACCTCAATTAAGGCACACGGCTCCACTGTCAATATTTATGCATGTTTCATATACTGTACTGTGGGGGCAGGCCTATTCAAACCTACACACATGCACCCATCCAATCTCCCATCTCAATCAACTGGTTTTCAGCCGCTGGGTTCCAGTTAGGGGGCGGTGGAGAGCTGAAGCCCGTGTAATTTAGCCCGAGGCGCATGCTGGTTAGGTGCAGGGCTAACATGTAACATTCACTCTTGACTTCGTTCCCCATGGGCAATTTAGAAATACCATTCCTTATACATCCATACCTTTGGACTTGGATTGCACCATATTGGAAAATGTTGTGATGGGTGAGATACAGTAGTTCTTAAAAGTCCATATTACGCTATTCTCTGATCTATGTTTTTATAATGTTGTTTCCTCATTAGGAGCATTCCCAGGGTTGTGCTTTGTTTAATTCACGCATTTTTAACACACAAATCCTGCATATTTAGGCCGTGTTCTTCTCTCAAACAGAACACACTCTGCTCTGCCTCATTTGGATAATTCCAGCCCTACAATTTCTAATCTCTTCTAAAGAAACGGTAAAAGGTAGCTGTTAACTACAATATTTTTCAGACTATAAGTCGCTCCGGAGTATAAGTTGTACTAGCCAAAAAATGCGTAAAAAAGAAGAAGAAAAAAAAACATATGTAAGTTGCACCGGACTCGCTAGATCGCACTTTTGGGGGGACATTTATTTTATAAAATCAGCGGACCAGGAACCGACATTTTATCTTGAAAGTAAAGTTATAGTAATGACAATAGAATAAAGAACAGGCTGAATAGGTGTTAATATGTTAACGTAATATATGAACAATTCAGATAACTATAGCATAAACAACAGAACATAAGTTTATCAGAACTCTTGATCTGATTCCAAATCACTACATCCATTGAGTCCATTGAATTCTTCATCTTCAGTGTCACTTCTGAGCAACTCTGTGCAACTTTGGTTGTCACTGAAGTCCAGGGTTTGTCATCCAATGACTTCCAGGAAAGTTGCATGGTGCACCCTCCCAGTATCCATGAAGCTGTGTTCTCCAATCCCGCTTTCTGCCAGTCCCTCACAAGTTTCTCACTCACTCCAAACTTTCTTTCTGCTGCTCGATTACCATTTTCTGCTGCATATTTCACTACTTCCAGCAGGACAGTGGCTTTTTCTGCAGGAGATATTCCCAGAAAAATGAGACACAAGCCTAAAGTGCCCTAGAGCGGCTGTCATATAATTTGCACCGGAGTATAAGTCGCAGGACCACCCAAACCATGAAAAAAAGTGGTTGAACAAAGTTTTTGAACTTTTGGAGAAGATGGAGACAGATTAATAAAGTGTTTCTCAAAACTCCAGGTATGTTTTTGAGGATAGGAAGCTTTACTAGTGTCAAAATAAAATTATACAGACACAAAACCAGGCCTAAATCAATGCTAAATTTGAGGAAAATCATTAATAAAATCAGCTTTTACTAATTCATAAAAACGTCAATTTAAAACCTTGGTGGTACTGCAAAGTCATTAGGTTTTCTGCGATATCGATTAGTGCGTCAGTGAATATTGCATTATCGATTTTTTTGCGATATATTGTTCTGCCCTACTTTGGACACTCAATTCTTACAATGAAGTATCCGCTCTCCATTCACAACAAGTCATATTTGAAAAGCCAATAAGTGTCAATGATGTGAAATATTAGGCCCTGGGTAGATGACATTTTATTGCGGGTATGGTTGGAGTGATTCATTTGCCTATAGTGACTGAATGTTTAGTGTTTGAATGGGCTGTGAGTATTTACCCTGCACTTGACTGCCAATCCCCCCCTCCCGAGTGTAGCTCACCTCAGGCTTAAAGCAGCTGCACATAATCCAATGAACAATGGAAGTGAACCAAACAACATTTTCATATACATTGTACCACAGTACGACATCAAACTGCTGTGCATTCATCTTGAAGGGTCTTGAAAATGATGTCGGCTTTTCTAACTGTAAAGGGACTCGTCTCT